GAACATGTATATATGTGGTTAAATTTGGCTTGTGCAACACTTGCTTTATCGGCTGATCTGTTGGAACCTTGATAATATGAGTTTGGAAGTATGGTTTGAGCCTTCTAGTAGGGGTGGCTAATGCCAAGACAAGTTTTTCCATCTTTAGGTATCACTCTTCAGCCCCCCTCAGAGCTCTGCTATAGTTGTAAACTTGTTGCTGAGCTTTGTCTCGCTTCCTTACTAATGTTGTGCTGGTTGAGAAGTCTGAGACAGCTAAGTAGAGGGTAAGCACTTTCCCTTCTAAGGGGTTAACTAGAATAGGGGGAGAGCTCAAATAGTCCTTCAAGGCTCTAAATGCTTCCTCACATCGGATATCCCATTGAAATGCCTTCTTTAAGAGTTGAAAAAACGGTTGACATTTGTCGCTTGATCTAGATACAAAACAGTTTAGGGCTGTTATTCTTCTTGTCAAATGCTGAACTTCCTTGGTGTTGGATGGCAGCTTCATATCCATTATTGCTTTAACTTTAACTGGATTAGCTTCAATCCCTCTGCTATTGACTATGAAACTAAGGAACTTTCCCACAAATATTCCGAAAGCACATTTGGCAGGTTTGAGCTTCATTTTGTATTCCTTAAGGACCTGAAATGATTGTGCTAGGTGTTCAACATGGAGCTCTACCTTTAATGATTTTACCAACATATCATCGATGTATACCTCCATTGTCATCCCAATCTATTTTTAAAACATTCGATTTATCTAGTGTTGGTAAGTGGCTCTTGCGTTCTTCAGTCTGAAAGGCATAACTTGATAGAAGTATGTCCCTTGCTCCATCACAAAAAAAGGTCTTCTCCTAGTCATGGGATCCATTCTGATCTAATTGTAACCAAAGAAGGCGTCCATGAAACTTAGGAGCTCATGCCCTATGGTGGCATCCACGATCAAGTCTATCCGAGGTAAAGGGAAGCTGTCTTTAGGGCAAGCACAATTGAGGTTAGTAAAGTCGATGTAGAGACGCCATTTTTCATTGGTCTTCTAAACAAAGACCACGTTAGCTAACCTGACGGGATAATCTACTTCTCTGATGACTTTGGCATGCAAAAGCTTGCTTACTTCCTCATTAATGGCCTTCTGCTGCTCGGGGGCAAAACTTCTCCTCTTCTGTTTAACAAGTTCACTGGCAGGGTTTACATTGAGTCTATGTGAGATGATTAAAGGGTCGATTCCTGTCATATCTTCTTACTTCCAGGCAAACACTCCTATATTCTCCTTCAAGAATTGGATGAAAAGGCCTTTAATTTTTCTGCTCAGCTTAGATCCTGTGTAGACAAGGTGTTCTGCTTCTTCGTCAAGCTGAACTGGTTCTAGCTCTTTTGATGGTGTTGGTCTAGTGTCCAGCTCATCCCTTATGTTGAGCTCATCTAGTTGAATATTTTTGACCTCTTTCCTTTTGATATATGCCATATAGCACTCTCGTGCTACACGTTGGTCTCCTCAAACCATACCAACCCCATTTTCTATAGAAAACTTCATAACCAAGTGGTAAGCAGAAGGTATAGCCCTAATAGCATTGAGAGAAGGTCTCCCATGCAACATATTATACGCTGAAGGTGCATCAACTACCAAATATTTCATAGAAGTGGAGGTCTGATAAGGAGGGTCCCCAATTGTGAGCACAAGCTGTATTGATCCTAGGGGTAGTACCCTTTCTTTTGAGAACCCTAACAGGCGAATATTTACTGGCTCGAGCTTTTCTCTACCTATCGCCATCTTATCAAATGCTGGCACAAATATGATGTCTACAAAGCTCCCGTTATCAATCAGTACTCGATGAACAGTTCTGTTGGCAACATCCGTTCTTACAACTAAGGGATCATCATGGGGATGTTGGTAACCTTCCAGATCTGAGTCTAAGAAAGTGATGGGTATGTCCAAACGAGGAGTCTTGGATACAATATGTACTTCTAGTGTTTCATTGGCTCTGATTTTTGCAAGTGAGCTTTCCTAACTGAGTTAGATTCTCCTCCTTTTACAAATCCTCCTGATATTACTCTAATTTCCCCTAGGGGTTGCTGATGCTGCATAGGGGCTTGCTGTTGAGGTACTGGGGGCGGTGGAACTCTATTATGATTATCATGGGCAATAAAACGATACAACTGTCCTCTTTGGATCAAGAACTCAATCTCATTCTTCAGCTGAATGTAGTCATCAATATGATGACTGTGGTCTCTATGGTACTCGCAGTACTTCGTAGGATCTCTCTTTGTTGGATCTGCCTTCATTCGAGGAGGCCATTTTAAGAACTTTTCATTCTGCACCTCATACAGAATCTGGGACACTGTGGCACTGGGTAGAGTATACTACTGAGGTGCATACCTTGACTGCAACTCAGGCTGTGGGGGACTTAGACGATCCCTAATATTTTTTCTCCTTTTTGGGGAACGTTCTCTATCTCTCCTAGGAGATCTGTCTCTTCTTGGAGACCTGTTTCTTTCTCTTTCTTTTATGGGACTTCGATCTATTTTCTTTTTCTTCTTCTCTTTTCCTTTATGTGAAAACGATCTCCCTACCTTTGAGAGGAGAGCTTCCTCATCGTTTATATACTTCTTTGCTTTAGCCAACACCTCGGCCATGCTTGCTTGAGAATTTTTGGATATGGAGAACATCAAGTCCTTTAACTATACTCCCAATCCTGCTATAAAAAGTAGTAATTACAAATTTTTCATCTGGGACATCTACCTTTAGGGATTCAGAGTTAAACCTATGAACATAAGACCTTAGATTTTCTTGAGGTCCTTGTTTCACATTCAGTAAGTGATAGTTCGGCTTTCTGTATGTCCGAGCTCTAATGAAATGGGACACAAAAGATATCGAGATAATAGGAGATCGAGGTGAGGGGGAGTCTGTTAAACCATGCTAAGGCTAATCCTTTTCGGGTTACGGTGAAAGGCGCGACAACGAACAGAATCTTGATATCCATGCAACTCTATCTGATTTTTATAAGTATTGGTTCCATCAAAAGTTTCTACCTGAGACATTCTAAATTTTGAAGGGAGGGAAAAATGCAACACCCTAGGAGTAAACGGGGACTCGATTTACTGCCCTAAGGCGTCCATGGTTATTGGAGTTTTACTCCTCATGACCTCCTTCATGTGGCTGAGCTACTGTTGAATATCTCTGAAGCGCTGCCCCAGTATTGGTCTTTTCACTCCTGCTGGACTGGGCGAAGGTTATTCTTCTCATTCTCATTACTTTAGCTTTGCACCTCTTCATTGTCTCCGTTCTTCAGAGGAGGTTGGGGAGCCTGACTATTTTCTCCTCCTTCGTCGGCTTCCATGGATGGGTCGAGATGTCGTTGTTCCCTGAGGGGGATCATTCTGCCTCCTTGGGCTGGTTGTGTTCTCACGTGGTCGTTGTAGAAGCTTCAGGAGTTTCTCATTCTGCTTTAGCAGGCATTTATTGACTAGACGGAGGGCTTCCAACTCGTTGTTCGTTGGAGGATCCACCATAGGAGGATTGACATCGACGGTGGGGAAGAAATCTTATGGATCTTCGTGTTGCCTGCTAGTATTCTCTTGCTGGTTCTGCACCCGTGGGGGATTCACTTGACTTCTGCTCATATTGCGGGTTGAGACCATCAATTACTGAAGGATCAGTGTACTTGTAACGAGAACAATCGTTCTCACAGACGGCACCAAACTGATGGTGTAATTAGGTGGATGAGCAGAACATTGGAAATCAATGTTAAACTGAGCTACAAGGCTCGTGGGGATTGTGAAAATTTTCTTAAGGTATTGGGCTCATTTATGCAATGAAATTATAGTGGTTCACCCGCTTGGAAGCTCGGTTAATCCACTATTTAATGGAGACTCTTGCTTCTCGGATCTGTATTGATTACTTTTACGAATTTTAGTAGTGTTCCAATACAATTAGGGTTGCTCGTCCCTTCAATGGAGGCCCTGTTAAGTATTTATAGTCTAATTCCTATTCCTAAGGGATTTGTACCAAGATCTTTGCCCTTCATCCGAGGGATTGTCTTTGATTCTAGGTGAAGATCTCGGCTAATTGAGAGTTTTGCGCCTTGACGACAACTTTCTGTTATTTTGGGGGTTCTTTTTGTTGGCCAATTGTCTCCCTCTCTCTTCATTTATTATTCCCTTCAAAGGGAGCTCGAGGTCTGGTCCCCTGAGCTCAGGGTGTTTGCTTGACCTCCATGACTGACCTCCGTGCCTGAGCTCAAACTTAGAATATATTCTGGGTATCATCAAAAATAATTGTTCTCACCTTATTTGAAATATCGGTTTCAACCTCTAAAATTAAAAGTCTTAACAAGGATTTTCAGGTTAATTGAAACAAAAATCAAATTTAGAATCTATATATCAATTCAATTCATTTTAAATAGTGATTTTCTTTTTGTGTGGACAGCGCCTATAGACAAACCATTTTTAGTGTTACTAATACTAGATGCCTTAACACGTGGTTTACTCATTGAAAAAAAATTAGGCAGTGAAATAGGGTTAAAACGAGGATCTAGTGATATATTTTCACATCGACTTCATCAAAAGTTTTCAGAAAAAACTGTGCACTACCGGGTAACCTAAACGCCCCCTTCATGCATTCCACCCGAGTAACCAAAACCACATATACCAGATCACTCCTCTCTCTGAAACACCCCCAGCTCTCATTTTCTTGCTATAATTTCAGCTCTCTTCGTTCTAACCCTATTAAACTCAACACGCCCTCTCTCTCTCTCTCTCTCTCTCTCTCTCTCTCTCTCTCACACACACACACACACACACACGCACACACACACACGCACACACACACACACACACCCCCATACACACGCACACATCCTGTGTTAATTTCTCTTTACTAAATGGAGTTAGTTAAGTGTTCCCCAAATTTTAAATGTATTCCAAAGTTCACTGCTCAAAAGAGTCAATTTTCTAAAGCAAACCAGAAAAGTAGTTCAAATTTAGGTTTTGTGAAAGGATATTTGAAAATTTTTGGAAAAATGAACTCTTTAGCGGTGGTAAATGCAAGCGATGGAGGAGTGGAAACGGAGACAGCAGTGGTGGAGAAGCCCCCGAAAACACTACGTCGTTTACAGGTGTTTAGTGGTTATCCGACGCCGTCTGGTGCTACTACAAAAGACGGTGGGGTCAATTTTGCTATCTGTTCAAGCAATGCCACGTCGGCCAGTCTCTGCTTGATCAATCTCTCAGATTTGCCTGAGGTAAAAATTTCTTGAATGTAAATTCAGATGTTAAATTGGTGTTATTCGGTGATTTTTTGTTGTAATAGTTATTTTGCATTAAGTAGTAGAAAAATATGATAAGTGGAATTTATATAAAATTTGTCTGTCCTGCATGTGGGGTTGGGTGTGAGAGTGAGAGGGAGCGTCTGTTTGTGGAGTAAATATTCAATGCAACAGTGACACCGCGTCATCACTGTTACGTGGTGTCACCATCCAATTAATAGATTAGAAAATGGTAAAGTGAACTCCCCTATATTCATAACTATCCGTAACCACCACATCCAATCGGTAACACACAGGATTAGTGGAATCCACTTTACCTATTTGTTGTCATCTAATTGGATGGTGACACCATGTGGTGGTGATGACGTGGTGTCACGGTTGCAATGAATATTTTCTTGTGAAACTTGACTATATATAAAGACAACTTTAGTTGTCCTCACCCGGTTTTCTTTTTTTTGTGGGTAATTTACGATTTACACCCTCAAAAGTAGAATGAACAAAATCAACATTAAGCAGCATCAACATCAAATTAGAAGCAAAAAAAAGCAGAATAAGCATTAAGCATTTACAGAAAATCAGCATCAAGCAGGAATAGAGAAGCAGAATCAGAATCAGAGAAGAAGCAAAATCAGGGAAGCAAAAGCAAAAGTAGAAAAAAAGAAGAAGAAGCAGAAGCTGAGAAACAGAAGCAGCGAAGAAGAAACAAAACCAGAAGAAGAGAAGAACATGCAGAAGCAGAGAAGCAGAACTAGAACTAGAAGCAGAAGAGGAGAAGAAAGAGATAGGAAGCAACACAAGAAGAGAATAAGAATCTGCACAAGAAGAGAAGAGGAAAGGAGAGGAGAGAAGAGAACATACTTCTGTTGTCGAAGAAGAAGATATAAGCAATAGGTACTTGTATTTTCTATAGAAGAAGAAAAAGAAGACTTGAAAAAGTAGAAGAAGAAGAGAAGAGGTGAAGGAGGAGAGAAAATAACAAAGAACATACCTGTGTGTGGTGTTTTCTATTGAAGAAGAAGATAGAAGTAGCAGATGCAAAGCCTTCTGTCGAAGAAGTAGAAGAAGACTCAAAAGAAGAAGAGAGGAGGCAAACCTATGACTTCTTTAGGATGGAGTAGCGAGGAAGGAGCAGCAATCATCTGGCCTTTTAGGCAAAATTAGGTTTTGGGTGTTGTATATATTGGGATAAAGGGACAATTGGGTGCATGGGTATCTCACAATTTTGTTCCAGTTGTCCAAATCCAATGGTCCATAATAAAAATAAAATAATCTAACAGTCCATAATAAAAAAATAAAACAACTTTAAAAACTTAACTAAGGCGTCGCTTTTCTCACTTTTCCATCTCTTCAGTCATGTTCACTTTGCCTGGGTTGTTCAAGGTGAGACCATCGCCTAGCTTTTCACAACACTGGTCACACCCACCATTTCTCGGAATGACCAAACCCTAGCTAATTAGTATGATTTAAAATAATCATGTATCACATAACAAAAATATGATGGACTTAAACTAAATATTGACCACATCATTAGTAGCATCAACCAATTCTTTCCATGTTCAATGACCCAGGCACAAGCTTGCACTTTCAAAGGCACCTTAGTCATCCAAATTTTCAAATATGGATAAAAGATGGGAAAGTAGTGTCATCAAGGAATCAAAATTGGATTTGCAAGAGAACAAACTCGTTTAGTCATTGACCTAACTTCTTCTATCCATTGACTCTTGATGTAGAGTTGATTACAAAGCAAATAAAAAAGTGAGACAAATTCCAAAGTGTCCCTATCATTAAGACTCCTACGAAACCAAAATTCAAAAACATCGGATTAGAATTGGTCTTAACCATTGAAGAAACATGGGCATGATGATAAATGAAAGGCAATAAAGCCGAGGAAATGAACAATCTAACAATGACTCTCACTCCAATAGTCCTCCCAAAAAACACACTCTCTCCATTACCCACAACAAATTTAATCCCTTGAGAAAAGAAAGGTAATCACTGAGAAATAAATTTTCATGGGTTTGGAAAACTACCCCTTTTAACTTCATTAGCAACCCATTTATTCGCTTGTATGCCATACTTGCTTCTAATAATCAAATGCCACAACGAATTTTGCCATTCTTGTTTCTAATAATCAAATGCCACAAGGAGTTTTGCTTCAACGGAACCTCCAAAGCCATTTGCCAATTAGAGCAATATTTCTAGCTATCAAATTGCCCACCACCGAAGATTAAAATTTTGTTTCAAAACCAACCAAAATGTATTTATTTTCAAGGGGACTGAAATGAATTAGTGAAGAAATCAAAATTCTAATACTTTCAGGGATTTCATAATATTTCAAGGTGTTACGTAATGTTTAGACGGATTTACACATTTTTTTCAGAATGTTTCAAGGTGTTTTAAGATGCTTTAGTATATTTTGACTAATATTTTGAAAAAATAATTCTTAATTTTTTTATTCATTTTTATTGTGTTTCCGAAATTAGTCGAAATGAGTTAAAATGTTTTCGTTTCTTAGGTGATTGAAATAATACACTGAAACAAAAATTTTGATCTTACGGACCTTACACTTAACTCTAGTTCTCGACACAAGATCCCAACAAATCAAGTGATCCTTTTTACTTTCACCATTACCTTCCCACAAGAAATCTCTCATCATCCCTGAAATCTTCCCTCACTGCTAATCCAGGCATTTTGGAAAGAGATAAGAAGTAGATGTGAATACTTGCCAATTCTGATTGGACTCATGTGAGTGTCTCCCTTATAGATATAAATGCTTTCTTCCATCCATCCAACCTCTTCCCAATTTTCTCAATTATCAGATCCCAAAACCTAAAGATAAAGGGTTACCACCTAAGGGCAGCCCCAAATACTTAAGGGGCCACCATCTAACCTAGAAATCTCCTCTTGACTAGAATTAATTCCCACTACCAAACTATTATCCACATTAACCTTAAACTCAAACATCACACATAAAACATCAACAAATTTCTGAGGGGTTGTTTGGTAACTGTTTTTGTCTTGTGTTTTGTGGTTTTGTTTTTAATTTTTGTCAAAAATGAAACAAAAATATGTTTGGGTACTGTTTTTGTTTTTGTTTTATATTAGTTTTTTGGAAACAAAGACAAAAAAATGTGAACAAAAAAAGATATTTCAAGAAACACCAAAAACGGAGGCAACACGCGCAAACAAGGGTGGGAATTAATGAGATTCGGACTTCGACTCCTCTTAACAGCAAAACAAGCCATTTTTTTTGTTGTTAAGAGCAAAAACCCATTTCACCCCTATCTCTTCCCCATCGCTTCTCTCTCTCTATCTCCTCTCTCCCTCCCTCATATCTTCTTTCTCTGTATCAGACCACTTGCCTCCATCACTGCCTCTTCTCTCCTTTCTCTTTATGAAACCCAGAAGATGTAAACCCACTTCAATTGCTGCCTTCCTCTCTCCCTCTTCTGTGTCAAACCCATAAGTTGTGCATATATATGCACAGATCGCCACCTCTAGACGAATCACCACCTCCATCACTGCCTCTAGACGAATTGCCACCTCCATCGTTGCCTCCTCTCTCCGTGCATATATATATCCACTGATTTGTGCGTGTGTATAGTGTTTGTTTGGTATTTGTTTTGCGTGTGTGTATGTGTTGTGTTGAATCATTTAGGATTGATTGAATTATTATTTGGATTAAATTGTTATTTGTAACTGATAGAATTTCTATTTGGGATTGTTGAATTGTCATTTCGGATTAATTACCAAATAGATATCAAACATATTTTGGATAAAATTTGAAGTGGATACCAAACATATTTTTTGTTTTTATTCTCATAATTTGATAGACAAAAATGACTCCCAAACATGTTTTTTGTTTTAGTGTTTATTACAAAACAGAGACAAAAATTATCTCTGTTTTTAATTTTTTTCAAGACGCGAAGACAAAAACTTTACCAAACGTCCCCTAAGATCCAAAAGTTTCTATTCATCTCTAGAGGAGAAAAATATGGTATCACCTATAAACTATAAATGTGACGCTAAGACCCTATCTCTACCAACAACAAAACCTTTTTCCAAATTACAACTTTCTGCCTTCATTATTAGCCTACTCAATCTATCCACAACCATAGTAAATGAAAAAAGTGATAATGAATCCCTTTTTCTAAGCCCCTAGATGCCTTAAGCTTTTCCATACACTTTCCATCTAGAATCACAGAAAAGATCAATAGACTTCAGGCAACTACTAATCCATTTCTTCCGTTGCTTCCCATATCCCTTCATTTCCAATATAAAATTCAAGAAATTCCAATCCACATGATCATAAGACTTCTTAAAGTCAATCTTCAACATGATTCCCTCATCTTATCTAGCTCTATAATCTTCAACCACCTCATTTGCAATCAAAGCTACATCCATAATCTATCTCCCCTTAATAAAAGCCCATTGAAACCTTAAAATAGTATCACTTAAGCTCTCCATTAGCCTTTCTGACAGAGCTTTTGCTATAATATTTATAAAGATTTATAACAAGGCTAATCGGCCTAAATCCTTGATCCTATGCGACTTTCCTTTTTTGGAATTAGACAAATAAAGGTGGCATTTATTATATCCTTAACCACGCCATGTTGAAAAAAATATGTAAACACTTCATCACGCCATGTTGAAAAAAATATGTAAACACTTCATCAACTCTTCTTTCACCACCTCCCAACACTGGTGAAAAAGAGCCATAGTATAACCATCCGGCCCTAGTGCTTTTTCTCTACTAACACTCAAAACTATCTCTCTTATCAACTAATCTATACCAACAGCCATCTAACGCTGAATATAACTAAGAAAAAAACCCACAATTTCTCTCTGGATTTGTTCCTATTCAAAAAACATTCCTCTCTCCAACTCTAATTTGTTAATAATTTTCTTCTTAAGGTTTAGAGTTGAGGAGAGGCAAGAAAGGAAAAAAGAAGAGAAGAAGGAAGATAAACTATAATTAGGGTTAAGGAGTATGAGAGTTAACTAATCTCGCCTCTCATTACCCTTATTTATATTAATTTATAATAAGCTACAAATTAGAATAATACCCTTAATTAAAATAACATAACATTTTTCACTCTCTCAAATTGAAGAATATACATCTTTCATGCTCTACATGCATACATCTGAATGAAAAATTGTATTACTAAGAATAGACATCTTTCATGCTCTACATGCATACATCTGAATGAAAAATTGTATTACTAAGCCCTTTAGTAAATGCATCCGCCAATTGTTCCTTGGATGTCACAAAGGGCAAACAAATCAACCCAACATTCAATTTCTCTTTAATGGTGTGCTTGTCAATTTCAATATGTTTTGTTTAGTCATACTGAACTAGGTTACGAGCAATATTTATAAGAATCTTATTATCACAATATTGGCACGTAGGTTCACTGGTAGAGAAACCTAAGTCTCCCATTAAGGTTTTTAGTTTCATAAGCTTACAAATGCCATGAACCATAGTGTTGTGAAAAGCGAGCCTAGGCGAACGCCTAGGCAAGAAGCGAAGTGAGCCTTGGTCCTCTTGAACATCCTAGGCGAAGTGAGGAAAAAGTGAGCCTAGGTGACGAAGCGAAGAAGTGAGCCAAGCGAGAAAAACGAACATTTGACTACAGTTTTTTATTTTTTTTTCTCCTCCTCCTTCCCCTTCCTCCTCCTCCTCCTCCTCTTATTCCTCAACATTAATCAAACCCCGACAGAGATTATGTTATATGTGTATATATATAAAATAAATTGATTGATTCATCTAATAGTATCGTATGACAATCTGTCTTATTATGATTAAATGATGTTGAATGCTTAGTTTTGATGTGAATGTTCTTGTTAATTAATTTGTTTGGTTAATCAAATTGATTAATCAATTTGCTATGTGTTCTATTTGATTAATCAATTTGTGAGTGTTCTATTTAGTGGTGATATTAATCAATCACAGTGGAAGTTGAACTTACATTTGCTAGCTTTACATTTAGATGATGTGATTATGTTAATTGATTATTTTTAGAATGCAATAATATTTAATATTTAATATATTGTCTATTTAAAATTTGTTGAAGGTTATTATTTTGGTTGCATTTAAATATTTTGTACTTGTAAAGTTAAAACTTAAATATTTAGGAGTAATCAAAGTATCAAACTAAAATATTTGCTTATCTTTTATATTGTTCGCTTTGTTTCGATGAAGCGCTCGCTTTGCTTATCGCGTAGGCCCTCAAGAGACCAGTTCGTTTTGACTCGTTTTACGCCTTAAATAACACTGAGCCATAACCCAGGATTCTGCCTCCGTACTAGATCTAGCCACCATTGCTTCCTTCTTGCTCCACTAAGTAACTAGATTTTCTCCTAAAATTGTACAGTAACTTGTATTAGACCTCCTATCATCAATTAAATGTGCATGGAGATAATTTGATAAACCACAGTATACAATTAAC